CTTAATCTTACAGGGATAAACAACCTTAAGGTGTAGATTTGGCAGTAAAGGAAGGAATTTTTTTGGCTGCCGACCAAATTTAACAGAATTATGGCCCTTTGTTGATTTTTTTTCAATTATATACTATGTAGAAATTTTGTGAATGCAACTCCTCTTAAACCGGATGGCAGATTTTGCTTAAACTTCCAGGGATGAACAACCTTAATGTGTAGATGGCAGTAAAGGAAGGAATTTTTGCTGCAACCAAATTTAAAAAAGAATTTATGGCCCTTTGTTGATTTTTTCATTATAAAACTATGAGAAATTTTGTGAATGCAACTCCTCTTAAAAACCGGATGGCAGATTTTGCTTAAACTTCAGGGATTAACAACCTTAATGTGTAGATGGTAGTAAAGGAAAGGAATTTTTGCTGCGACCAAATTTAACAAAATTATGGCCCTTTGTTGATTTTTAGTTTTCAACTTGTGGCACATGTAGTCCAAAAAATATTTGACCTAGAGTCATAAGATTGACAGAACAGTGGCGTGTGGGGGCATCCGTGTCCTATGGACACATTTCTAGTTTCACTATATACCATATAGAAATTTTGTGAACGCAACTCCTCTTAAACTGCATGGCAGATTTTGCTTAAACTTCCAGGGATGAATAACCTTAATGTGTTGATGGAAGTAAAGGAAGGAATTTTTGCTGCGACCAAATTTAAGAGAATTATGGCCCTTTGTTGATTTTTTCACTATATAACATATATATGTTGTTAGTGGGAGCACCCGTGTCCTTTGGACACAGTTCTAGTTTACAATCGATTCAATTTTACGTAATCATCCGATCAAAATCATGATATATCACATCTATTCTAATGTTTATTCATTAATGTTACCAATGTTAGTCTGATACAATTTAATACGATGAAAATCAGGTGTATGAGGACTTATACATACATGTACCTAATTAGGACTTGACACTTCTGAAAACAATTATATATCGGATAAATCCAATGAAGCGATTAGTTATTGTTTAAAAAATATATTCTTGTTGGAGTAAAGAGATATTTTTATGTTGGATATATAATAGTAAATGGTAAATGGTGTTTACTTATTATTGTACCCCCGAAGGAAGACTGCTACCTGTCTCTCCAGAGTATCCACTCTGTCACAACAGCTGTGACACTTGTTTGGGGTAACTAAGGGGGAACCATAAAGAATGGTAAAATGCTCCATTTAAATGATAAGAGGACTCATCATAATAAGGATAGGTTGTTCTTGACCTTACTGGGGAACCCCAGTAATCCTTTTCAATGCTAGGATCACCAGAGTGAGAGTTTTGAGAGTCCGGCATTGTGGCATCAGGGGATGAGAGGAACCAGAGCTCTCAGTCTTGGTAGGGTAGAATAATTTTGAATTTGTGACCAGGGGGTAAAGGTCTCCGTGAGTATGTATCCTGAGATATTTTTAGAGTTATTGATGAAAATCTTAAAAATCATCATTCTGAAAATGTGTAGTTCATATAAAATTGTAAACCCCATCTCATTTTTCCCCTAGGAATTTCAGCAATTTTTCAAGACAGCATGTTCAACATCTGCCTATAAAATTCTGTTATTTGATAATTTTCATAATTGTTACCATTGTCTTTAAAGCTTTTGACTTAAAATGAATGACATGCAGTGAAACAAAGATCTTCTCACTGTCTCACATTTAGAAGTGATAATTTTCTGTAAACTCTTAAAACTCTTAATATGTCAGTCATGACTGTTTTAATTGTCTTCCTACAAATTCTTTAATAGCTGATAACACATTGTCAGGAAGAGCTTTTGACTCCTCTATGGCATTGTGTGCTGTCCTTGCTCCATTGCATTTTCCTTTGGCAAGGACTTTCGTGGAAAATATACACTCAAGCAGAGCTATTGTCAACTTTCTAGGAGTGTCCCCAATAATAAAGAGAAGATGACACTTTCCCTGGTGTCAGGTATACCTCATGATAATCCACTAGCCAAAAGGATTTTCTTGTGTCCAGATGGCTATAATTTAGAAGAGATAAAGGTTTTATATGAATTTTTGGTATCTTAGTTTTGGCCTTAAAAACAATGCTGAATGCAGCATAATGATAAAATCAATGATTCTTTTATATTTTTTAAAACATCAACAATTTCTTTTTATCATTATGCTTAAGTGAAACTAATATAAAAGAATGGACAAAATACCGGAATTGTTTTGTATATAAATTTTACATATTAACCTACCAGTAGTTCTCCTATCATAGAAATTTTATGTAACAACCAAGTTCTTCAAGTAACTATAATTTTGGGCTTGCTTTTCAACACATATTGTTAGCCTACAAAATTAATGTGATTTATGTGTGATATGAACAGCCATTGATTAAGTTGAATCAACAGTAAAGTCTAAACTCCTAAATTAATACTATTAAAATCTGTTTATGAGTTGAAGACACTTAAAGACTGAGGATGTACATAATTTGCTTCAAAAAAGATGAGATCACTTTGAAATGCTCAAAGTAATATATAGACTGAACCTAATTCAATTGATTTTTTTCAATCCTGTATTAAGGTTGTTGCCAAATGCTTTGACTGTAAATTGTTCTGGCAATTTGGAGACCATCTAACAAATTATCAGATCATCTGACCTTTCTTCAGTTGTTCCAAACAATTTCTTTAGATTATTCTGAAACAGAACTATTTCTTTCTTAAGTTCTTCCCCTGTTATGTTGACTTTAGCTTTATATGTCCATGTATGCTTGTCACATTGACATGTTGGACAAATGCCATCATTTCTTTGGCAGTGTTTGTTCTGTTCTGTGCACTGTGCATAATGTTAAGTAATGTTATTAATATTATTTTGATGCTGGACTAAATCTGATACTGTTTGGGTTTGTATTATGTGCAACATGGTTTCAGTACCTAGAATTTTCTACATGGATAGACAAAGTATAAACAGATGTTAGTTCATATGCTGCTGAATTATGCTTTTCAAAATAGACAGTAAGAAATTTATCACAAAAACTAAACATCCACACAACAAAATATCTATTCTATTAGAGCTGTGCAATCCTTATGTAAATTTCTTTCATGAGGGTCCAATAAGATGAACTGATCAGCTGCTGTGTTAACATTCAAAGCTACAGTTAATCCATTTAATGGGAGTAACTGTAATATGTGGACAGGGCAGATGATTGCAAGATCAATTTGTAAAACTCTGTTTGGCCAAATCGTCTAACAATATTGCCATTAAAGTACCCATTGGTATTCTAACCAAAATATAGAAAATACTGTGTTGTTGATTCATTTTCATGTTTGCATTCCTGTTTTCTTGCAATAAGCAAGCATGACCATGCTAGATGTAGCAGTTTTTATTCATTTTTGTTTGCTTTTTCAAATCCGGAGCTCAAGCTATTTTGTTGGCATGACTTATTTATTGTCACATTTGCATTCCCATATCCTGGCAATAAGCAAGCATAACCATGCTGATATTGCATGACTTATTCATTTTCACATTTGCATTTCATATCCTGGTAATCCTTCTTGATGCAGCATTTTTTTATTTGTTTTCATGTTTGCATTCCTAATACCAGGAAATAAGCAAGCATGACCATGCTAGATGTAGCAATTCTTATTCACTTTTGTGTTTGCTTTCTTGAAGCCTGGTAATATACACACGTAACACACAATATATAACCCTTATTGATGTTTTGGCTTGACTTATTCATTTTTACATTATATAAAATATTTTAAATGTTTGTTCTTTATCTTACATACATAAAACAACATGTCATGCTTTTCTTAACATGCAATGTATTTTGCTATGTCCAAAGGATGGATTGTAATAATTTTTATTACCCAAATCATTAAAAACGCTTTCATTACCAAAAAGGTAATAATTATTTAAGAAAACATCTTAAAATGTTTATGAATAAAGCCAGATTTTATGTGGTGCCAACATGATAAAGAGTGGTAAAACAAACCAAAAAAAATAATAAATTAGTGGGCAGAGTTGACCAGTGCCGAGTTGGAATAGGGGTCATTTATTTTCCTTATACAGTAGAACTTCGGTAAGTCGAAGTTCAAGGGACTTACGTAAAAAGTTCAACACATCGGGACTTCGACTCATATATAGGTCCGAATTTTTGCGACAAAATTTCGCCATGACACAACGTTTACAAATGACATTACAAATGGCGTTACAAAGAAAAGGGGCGATAAGTAAATCATCTTATAGTACGGATCAGATACAATACTGTTTCGTGCGTGTTTAAAACAAAACAAGAATCTTTCTTTTAACAAAATTTATTTATTTATTCATTCATTTATTTATGTACAACAAAACAGGCAAATAAAACATGACTTAAATAAATACATTTTACTTTTTAATACACAATGAATAATGAGCACATTTTTTATTAACGAATATGAATATCACACATCACAATGTTTATAAACGATTATCATTAACATTTACAAAGAAATCAGAGATTGATGTCTGCTTACACTCACTTCTTCTTAGATAATATCTGCTGAATATAGAACTTATGTCACTAAATTTTGCAATGGCTCTTTCTGTCTCCGCATCACTCCCGATTCCTTGTTGGTGAAGAAAGTCCCTGACCGCATCTAATCCGTCCATGGCAGCGAAAATAGTCACTCCAGATCTTGAAGGCAGCTCATCATCATCGTTATCATCAGGAAGGGTTTCATCGTGAGATTGACGTTGTGAAACAACGTTATTTGTGATTTCCTCGTCAGTGAGATCAGCGCATACCGGAACACTGTCATCTGCCGATGTGTATTGCTCAAACGATACACCAGAGGTCAGACGCCTCAGAGTTGACAGAGGTAAGTCATCCTCAGGGTCGTCCTCAATCATTTCAATACCGGAAACTGAAGACTGCTGGAATCCAGCATGTCGGAAGCAGTTAGCAATAGTCTGAGGACTGACAGCATGCCAAGCTGTTTTGAGCATGTACAATGCATCTAAAACCGAGATGCTTGTTTCTCAACCTGTTTCAATAGCTCGAAGCTGTTGTTGAATGACTTGCTTTCTATAGTGAGCTTTGAGATTTTTTATGACTCCTTGATCCATAGGTTGGGTCAAGGATGTTGTGTTTGGTGGCAGAAATACAAGTTTGACAGATCTTAATCCCGCGATTTCTGGATGTGCAGGACAGTTGTCGACAATCAACAGAACCCTTCGCGACTGTGCCAAAATACGGCGGTCAAACTTTTTCACCCAGTTAGTGAAGATTTCTGATGTGACACATGCTTTTTTGTTTGCATCATATTCAATTGGCATTGTTTTTAGATTTTTGAAACAGCAAGGATTTTTTGATTTTCCTGTCACAAAAAGCGGTACTTTCTCAGACCCTGTCATGTTTGCGCAGACCATAACTGTTAATCGATCCTTGCTCATTTTACCACCGTGGCACTGAACATCTTTAAATTCTAAGGTCTTGTCAGGCACCATTCTAAAGAACAAGCCAGTTTCATCAGCATTGTAAATGTTTTGTGGCTCATATTCAGTCAGATAGGTCTGAAGTTTAGATTTCCACTCGGTCACTGCTGTGGAATTAGAGTCAACAGATTTTGCTTCAAACTTTTTTGAAGGACAGTTCATGTCTTTCTTTAAATCTGTCAAGCCAGCCTGTTGAGCACTCGAAATCAGAAACATTGAGCTGGTATGCAAATTGCTTTGCTTTTTGTTTGACAATTTCACCAGATAGTATGTTTTTAGCTCACCTGTCACAAAGTGACAGGGTGAGCTTTTGTGATCGCTTTTCGTCCGGCGTCCATCCGTCTGTAAACTTTTACTTTAAATGACATCTCCTCATAAACCACTAAGCCAATTTCATCCAAACTTCACAGGAATGTTCCTTTGGTGGTCACCTTTAAAAATTGTTCAAAGAATTTAATTCCATGCAGAACTCTGGTTGCCATGGCAACCGAAAGAAAAAACTTTAAATATCTTCTTTTAAAAAACCATAAGAGCTAGAGCTTAGATATTTGGCATGAAACATCTTCTCGTGAGTGTCTACCAAGTTTGTTCAAATAAAAGCCCTGGGGTCAAAATTGGCACCGCCCCGGGGGGTCATTGATTTTTCCTCTATGCATATAGTGAAAACTGAGCTAGAGCTAAGATATTTAGCATGAAACATGTTCTAATGGGTGTCTACCAAGTTTGTTCAAATAAAAGCCCTGGGGTCAAAATTGGCCCCGCCCCGGGGGGTCGTTGATTTTCCCTATATGCATATAGTAAAAACTTTAAAAATCTTCTTTTAAAGAACTCAAAGAGCTATGGCTAAGATATTGAGCATCAAACATGTTCTAATAGGTGTCTACCAATTTGTTCAAATAAAAGCCCTGGGGTCAAAATTGGCCCCGCCCCAGGGGGGTCATTGATTTTCCCTATATGCATATAGTAAAAACTTAAAAAATCTTCTTTTAAAGAACCAAAAGAGTTAGAGCTAAGATATTTAGCATGAAACATGTTCTAATAAGTGTCTACCAAGTTTGTTCAAATAAAAGCCCTGGGGTCAAAATTGGCCCCGCCCGGGGGGGTCATTGATTTTCCCTATATGCATATAGTAAAAACTTAAAAAATCTTCTTTTAAAGAACTCAAAGAGCTATGGCTAAGATATTTAGCATGAAACATGTTCTAATAGGTGTCTACCAAGTTTGTTCAAATAAAAGCCCTTGGGTTAAAATTGGCCCGGCCCGGGGGTCATTGATTTTCCTTATATGTGTATAGCAAAAACTTAAAAAATCTTCTTTGAAAAAAACCCAAATAGCTAAAGTTAAGATATTAAGCATGAAACATCTTTTATTGAGTGTTTACAAAGTTTGTTCAAATAAAAGACCTGGGGTCAAAATTGGCCCGCCCCAGAGGGTCATTGATTTTCTTTATATGTGTATAGCAAAAACTTAAAATCTTCTTTGAAAAAACCCAAATAGCTAGAGTTTAGATATTAAGCATGAAACATCTTCTAGTAAGTGTCTACAAAAGTTTGTTCAAATAAAAGCCCTGGGGTCAAAACTGGCCCGGCCCCAGGGGTGTCATTGTTTTAAACTATATGTGTATAGTAAAAACTTTAAAAAAACCTTCTTTTAAAAAGCCCAATGAGCTAGAGCTTAGATGTTTAGCATGAAACATCTTCTTATGGGTGTCTACCAAGTTTTTGCAAATAAAAGCCCTTGGGTTAAATTGGCCCTGCAACATTGGGGGGGGGGGGGGGGGGGGCCTATATACAGGTGAGCGACCTCAGGGCCATCATGGCCCTCTTGTTTGATCTTGCATTAGGCCATAGAAAATTAATCTTTAGACTCTCATCCAGGTTTCAAGAAATAATTGGGGCGGGTGGGTGGAATTTATAATTTATAATTGATTTTATCCATCACTTTTAAGACCTGAAAAAACAGTAATGTATGAATATATTGATGAACGTCGCATCATTTTCCACCCAGATTTTGATCAAAACTAAACCCAAACCAATCACAAACAGTTTTCTTGTTTACTGCAGCATATATTTCAAATATGACAAACATTTTGACAATTTTACTGATCGAAAACGAACGTATTTAAAATCTTGATCACTAGACGCTGTTAACCTCAGTCTGATTTTTATGCGTTTGTCCCGCGAATATTCGACCACGATTTTCGGACGAATTTTCGTCCAAAGATGTCTGCGAAATGAACAATTTTTTTTTATGAAAATAAATTATTTTGGGGCGGAAAGATTTTGATACGGGCGGGCGAGGATGAGAGTCTAAAAATTAATTTTCTGTGGCCTTAGAAAACCATTGCAAGAGGGCACTTTCTAACTCTGGAAATTTTGATTTTTTGTCACGTTTGCGTTGTGGGCCAATGTCTGCCTCTGAAAACTTCTTTTTAATTTCATCTCTTTTTTTTAACCAAGTTGAAAGTGTATTAAGTGGAATACCAAATTTACTTGCGACATCTTTTTTCTTTATTCCCTTTTCTACTTCTAGTATTGCCTGGTATTTAATTTCGTAAGTCTGCACATTCAGTTTACGCTTTATTCCTTGCTCTGATCTGACCGATCTAGCTATCCCCCCGGAATAACCGGGTCCTTCACTAGATGCTTCGGTGACGTTTGTGCGGCTCACTATCCCCCCCGGGTTGGGTACCGGGTCCTTTGCTTACCAACACGTTATGATCAGTAGAAATATCCATAATGGAACTAATTTGTCAACATTCATAGAGGTTTATATTCGAATCATATGACATTGAGAGTGATAACGATTGAAGACATAATAAAAGATATTTTCACACATAGAAACGCATGCAAAAGCTGTTAAAACAAGCGGCTGTGTGTTATTAACACCTGTCAGATAAGATGATTGGCAATCATCTACGCGGGCGGAAAAGGTGTGAAAAATATCTAGAGATTAAAGGTGTAAAAATTATTGAAGGACTTCGACTTATTTGTGGTAAATTGCACTCTATTTATTCTACACAGACCACGGAAAAAACCCGACACATCGAAAAATTCGACACATAAAAGTTCGACTCATTTGTAGGTTTTTATAAGGAATATATAGGGGAAAAAATCGGGACTTTCATTTTAATTCGACACATCGAGAAAATCGACTAATCGAAGTTCGACTCACCGAAGTTCTACTGTCTACCAAGTTTGTAAAAATAAAAGCCCTAGGGTCAAAATTGGCCCTGCCCCATGATGTGATTGATTTTCCTGATATAAACATGTATGTAGTAAAATCTTCTTGTGAAAATCCAAGAGCTAGAGCTTATATAAATGACATAAAACATGTTTTAGTGGATGTCTACCAAGTTTGTTCAAATGAAAGCCCTAGGGTCAAAATTGGCCCGGCCCCTAGGGGGTCATTGATTTTCCTTATATTTATATAGTAAAAATTTTAAAAATCTTCTTGTGAAAATCCAAAAGCACTATAGATAAGATATTTGGCATGAAATATCTTCTAGTGGATATCTACCAAGTTTGTTCAAATTAATGCCAGAGGGTCAAAATTGGTCCTGCCCCAGGGGTCATTGATTTTCCTTATTTATACTTCTTAATTCCCAGGAACTTCTTAAATCCGAAAACTTCTGAAATCCGAACATATTCAGGGTCCCGAAATTTCTCCTTCTGTTTTTCTATATAATAAATACCTCTGAATTCCGGAACTTCTAAATTCTGAATTCCGAATTATTTTCGTATAAAATTTGGGTTATATCAATTCAAATTTACTTCCAAAATCCGGACATTGAAAAAAATTTTGACGGAATATCTGATATAATCATAATTGAGATTTTAAAACCTTTAAAATGTCAGGATCTTTCAATTAGCAGAAACCATCTATCTTGACAACTATTACAATCACAACCTGTCAAGCAAATCAAACACTTGATTGAAGTGTGAAAAATAAAAAAATGAGAAGTATATTGTAATGAAAAACAAAAACAACACAGTTTATTCATAGCTGGTACAACATGAAATTATGCTTTTGTATCTACAAATTCAGTTTTAGGTGATAATGAAATTCAATATACAATGTAGTTATAACTTTTTAAAAGCGCTATAATTTTGCCATTTTATGATTCTAATAAGCTTTCGTATATTTTTTCATATCGGATGTTCAATGTTGATGTTCTAATGTTTCTACTAGTTCAGATAATTCCAAACTTCTGAATTCTGGAAACTTTCAAATTCCGAACTTTTTGGCTAGTCCCACAGGTGTTCAGTTTTCAAAAGTTACACTGAACATGTATATAGAAAAAACTTAAAAATTTTTTTGATAAAGTCCAATCTACCATGTTTGTTGAAATAAAACCCCTAGGTTCAAAATTAATCCAGCCAAAGGGAATTTAAGTGGACAGTTCAATTCCCAGCCAGGTCAATTTTTAGCTCGACTATTCGACCATTTGTCGGCGTCCCTGTGGTAAAGTTTTTGTATGTAAGCTGGTATCTCCATAACTACTGAAGGGAATGGATTGAAACTTCACACACTTGTTCTCTGTGATTATCTAAGATGATTGACACAAGTCCCATAACTCTGATTTGCTTTTTTACATAATTAGCCCCTTTTTCGACTTAGAAATTCTTGGTTAAGTTTTTGCGTGTAAGCTGGTATCTCCATAACTACTGAAGGGAATGGATTGAAACTTCACACTCTTGTTGTCTGTGATTATCTAAGATGATTGGCACAAGTCCCATAACTCTGATTTACTTTTTCGCATAATTATGCCCCTTTTTCGATTCATAAATTCTTGGTTAAGTTTTTGTGTGTAAGCTTGTATCTCCATAACTACTGAAGGGAATGTATTGAAACTTGAAGGGTTTGTACCTTTTCGGACAATTTTATGTATTCATATAGGTATGCATTATTATACTCAATGAAACACCCTTGTGACAAATTTTCGAATAGTCGAGCGTTACTGTCCTCCGACAGTTCTTGTTGTTTTACTTCTCTTTTTCTGTCATCTTTTTATAAGCTCACCTCTCACTTACTGACAGGCTGAACTGTTTAATAAAATTGCATCACAGCTAAAATTAGAAAACAACAACATCTAAACAACATCTAAACCACTGGTTCAATTTTGAAATAAATTTACACAAAAATTTCCTTGGTGACAGTACACACAATTGTTCAGATAAAACTGTCCCTTGTTTTCAAATTGTGCTTCTGGGGTG